AAAAGACGTATTCTGATATTAGTCGATACATTTGTTTATCCACAATGAATTAGGCATGATATTTTTTGTCCTTATATGTTTTAAGTTCAGATATATGCATGTATATACATTTCCAATATAAAAGCATAAAGCTGTCGACTGTTGTAGAGTACAATATCTCAGCTGGATGTAAGTACATACAAATTTTGTTGCTATTTTAGGGAACTATTATAAATGAGCGGACAAATGCACTTTGTCTTTGTTTCACTCAGTTTTACCATAAAATTCGCAACTGCTCTCGGTTTGTGTTACGTTTTTGCTTGTGATTTCCACCTGCAAAATCCATTCAACAAAATGTGGTTACCGACTTACAGACAGGTCAGGCAGATAAATATCAACCATCTGAATCTATAATAAAGTTATATTCACCAGACCATGTCCGTGAAAGTCGAAAAGTTTCTAGCCCAACATCGGCTGTAATTGCTGGCTTTGTATACTGCCGTCACTTGCTTAGTAATTCGTTTCCTCCTATATAATGCTTATAGTCCAGTATGAAAAGTTTAGATGGGTAAATTTAACTATATCATGCTGTTTGTGCATGCATGCATGCAATGTTTTTCTATAGCATAGGATTTTATTTAGCAGATAGTGATCAACAATGAGGGAAAGTGTTGCAGTGTGAATATGATCAGTCTGACGTGTCAATATCGTCATTAGACATTACTATACTTTATTGGATTCGCATGCACAAGCAATATGAACGATATACAAAATTTTACGGCTGCAGTCGAATATATATTGTTAGCACTTTTAAAACTGTTACACTTTAAAGTGCACTAACGGAGGCAACGAGTTAATTGTTGATTACAAAGCGGCTCAAAATTTTGTTGTGTTCACAGGGGACTGGGACTAAGGAGTGAATTTTCAAAGCGAAAGTCATTCACAACAACTACTGTACTATTATGCCACGACGATAAACCAAAAAGCAGATAATTTTGTTAATAAGAATTATTATAATTAGGACGAAGGTCTGTGGTTTTTAGTCATAAAAACCCATCTTTATCCGGTCCTTATTATATAATTGCCCTGCAGAATTTGCCAATATATACCAGTAGCCTTGATTTAATTCAAGAGTTTAGGCTAATTACTTTCTAAACGTATGCCTGCAAGGCCTTTTGTGCAGCACTGTCAGGCACTTACGTGGCAGGTATGTGTGACATTTAGCAAGACAAAGAGCACTCGTTGACAAAAGTGGAGGGCTATTTCAATGCATGACTGTGCGAACAGAAACACTTTTGACATCATACAGTGAAGTTATAGCCAGTACCTATGCATCCAATTTTCTATCGTTTTTTAGTAACAACATTGTGACACAGTCACAAAGTATCTCCACCGTAAAAATATATAATATAATTAAGCCACAGTCAAACGAGCCGGAATGCGTGAAAGTTGATGAGTGTCGCTACACTCTCTCGCGTTTGACCGCGCCAGCTCTCATCGACTCTTGTGCACTCTCGTGCACTCTCGTCAACATTGAGCTTTGATGAGAGCTGATGAGAATTGACATATAGATATCTTATATACACTAGATAGCGCATCTCTTTTAGTAAAATGGAAGCCAAGAATATTCCAGCGGTTACCCCATTTGAATAGATGGCGGCCATGTTGGTAGTTCCCACTCGCTAATAAACGCTTAAAAAACAACAATAACTTTCATCATTTGAATAATTTAAACTTTAGAATAGTTTAAACGTTAGAATAGGTTTAACTTAATGTTTAAGTTCCCTGTTTAAGAAATAGAAAACATACAAACTTCTCATTTCATGGGAATATCCTGAGTCTGCAATCACGGCTTCAATTTTTGAATTGTAGAATAATTAGATGCACTATCTAGTGTATATAAGATATCTATGAGAATTGATGAGAGTTGAGAAACGTCTCGTGTAGACTCTCATCAGTTCTCCTCCTCGTTCGCCCATGCAGGATTTCACTGACATCATCAAGACTGCCTTGTATTTTTATAATCAGATCTTACTAAGGTGACTTTTTAGATTATAACTCATTATCATGTTTCAAGAAATGACAAAGAGGTTCAGATGACAAATGACAAAGAGGACACAGAAAATCCCCGGCAATGCTATAATCACATTTGGGTTAAAATGTCATCTTATTTGGCTATACAATCATCTTATCAATCACGTTATACACCAACTCGAAAAACTGTTGTCTCGCTGTCAGTTCTCTCTAAATTATTTTCAGCCGACGTATCACTGCCCGGTTTTATAGAATATATCCGTCAAGACTAACATGGTATACCACTATACCATGGCATAATCTTGAACGGTCTATGTCATTGTAGGTATGGTGCCAATAATAACAAAGATTCGGTTGGTAGAACTACCTGAAAAATACAAGGAGAAATTCGACGTTTCGAGCGAAGTCCCTTCGTCGGGAACTGGGAAGTTATGATCACTGACTTCCCGACGAGGGGCCGTTGTTCGAAACGTCGAATTTAAGTTGTAATTTTTAGGTAGTTGCATCTCTACCAACCGATTTTTTGTTATACCGTGGCATACATTGTCATAGAGATTATTACACGGCGGCGCGAAGATATGACTTTGATCTTCGAGTGGTGAATACAATATTTTATGAATGAGCGCAGCGAGTGAGTAAAATATTGTTTTTAACACGAGAAGATAAAAGTCATATCTTCAAGCCACCGTGTAATGTTCTGTTTATTATATAGTCCCAAGCAAAAAATTGTATAAATACTAAAAGTCACGTGATCGATATATTCACTAGTGAAGATATGGAAAATATGTCACTGTGTATTTCCCAGTATCTCACTCTATATATAATAAATACTGACATGCACAAAGTCTGTTAATTAAAATTTCTCATCAAATATCTTCTTTTGCTACTTCATGTTATCAGACTATACGTCTATATATCTACATTAAAATGTTCCTGGAAAACAGATGTTCCTGTTTTATCACGTCATGACAGAGTCTGTCTGCGAGCAGATCGATCTCGCGTGTCTTCATGATCGTGAGTAAAAGTGAATATTCGTTAAACGTATTTGCATGGGCAGCACGCGGTGTTCCTGAATGTATTAAAGTATTTTCTGTAAACATTATTTTGATACCAATCTGCCACCCGTTGGATGACAATGTCTTTTATAGTTCGATTTCATTCTAGGTTATCTATACGCCTAGCACGAGTCTTATCACCTACCGAGGGGCAGAAGTCATATGATAAATAATTTATGTAAAAAGGAATTTTAATATAAACAAATCAGTGTCTAGTGGCATCCTGTGTGACCCATAGAAAATCAGACTACTCGAAATAGTTTCTAAATCCTCTTTGAATTGGGACTGTGATATTTCCAGTGGCAGTGTAGAAATTAACAACGATCAACCACCAGTAAGTGTATTATACTTGGAGAGATTTATTTCTTATTAATACGCCTGTTGTAACAGGCATGTGTCATGTAGACATCCTTGTTTTGATTTCAACTGCACATTTAATGATTTGTCGCTTTGGGTCTTTATAATTGTAAATTTAGACATCTGTTTGAGGTCAATATTTGTGATTTGTTGCGTCTATTATTAAATAGCTCAGCGAATAGCGGCTAGGTCTACGTTCCTCGGATTATTTTTTGACTTTAGTCCTTTGAATAGTTATTTCTGCGGCATGAAAATCGCTAAATTTGTATATACATTATTTGTATTCCAGATAAGGTCGGTAAGTGTAGTGTATATAAAAGCCGAATTTGGCAACCGAATTTGTATGTTGATTCAGTGAGATAAGTCTGCATCAATGGGCAATGGCAGCCTCGACCGCATACCTTATAATACAGTGTGTATAGGGGGGCAGGGGGCTCACATATACACCATATTTTCAAATAGTGCTTCTGTTCAGTTTCGTTCATTGTGATGAGAGTGAATGGAGCAATCTAGCACTAGTTGTGTAAATAGTTTGCTTTACAACTTAAACCTCATTCGCCGTGTTAAGTGTTTTGTTTGCACGGTAGTGATTAAAGTGATAATACTTGCCATGCCCATGCATGTTGAACAAAATTGGTGCCACGACGCCACAATTTAATAGCACCTATCTATGAGTCTGACCATATATAATTCATATACTAATTTACGGTAGTACAAATCAAAGTACACTAAATGATTCCAGACGTGTCCATACTGATCACAAAACAATTAAGACGGTACGTGTTAGGATAAATCACGGTTATCAGGTTCGCAACGTACGTGGATAGGCTTCATAAATTCTGATTGCCAATTAGAACATTCTTTCTATAAAGATACATCTGGGGCATTGACTTGTTCTGCGTGGATTCGATACATTTTGTTTTGTCTGGTAATCTGCATGCAGTGGTAATGCGCTCCCTAATTTCACGGAAATATGTCAACACATGATTTAAGCGATATACGTTCAGTCTTAATTCTCATGTCCTGAACTCTATAAATAGGGCCAGGCTGGTAATTATAACGCAAGTCCAAGTTTACAAGAGTCGTCAGTTTTACCATATTTTTTGTTACGAAAAGCAACGTAAATCGAAGATCCAAGAAACAGGAACATTCTTGCTCACGGAACATGCAAGAAAAAAAACAAACTTGAAGTTGATTTCCTGTAACGAAAGCAAGTGTACGTGCTATGAATTTTCGACAACTCTCCCGCAACTGTTGTTCTCGTTTGACCGGCTCATGAGAGTTGACAAAACTCTCATGCAATCTCTCGCTTGTCAACTCTCATCCTCGTTTGACCGCGGCTTATAAGGTAGGTGTAAAGCAGTCTTCATATTACATCATAATTAAGTCATACTGAACTACATCATTCACCTCAATTTGCATTTTCACAGATGAATTACATCGAGTGGTATATAGCATTATTACGTACAGAAAAACTGACTAAAACCTTCTGCCATATTCTTTATGCAATTTTGATCGTATAGACGGCATAACACCGGTGTCACAGGAGATTCGCCCCCCCAGGAGATTCGCCCCCCCCTCTCAAAAGGGGGGGGGGCGATATTCCTAGGATATTCGCCCCCCGGGGCGAATCTCCTAAGAATATCGCCCCCCAGGGGGGCGAATCTCCTAGGAATATCGCCCCCCTTTAGGAATTTCGCCCCCCCATATAAATTTTGAATTTTTGATCTAAACATATCAAACTTTCGCCCTATATGAATGAACATTTGCTCAAACTAGTGTCCAGTCGCTTAATGTGAAGTTACAGACGCTCCATTTTAAGCTGAGTGTAAGATTAGCTATGCTGAACTGGTTTTGTAATACCTTCTTTAAATAAAGTTCATTATTTAATATTATTATTATTATATGGTGGAGAGACCAAAGCCCACGCTTCGAGATTTCCCAAGCACAAACTTCAATTATAATGAGGAAGAATAACTAAAAAGTACATTTTACTAAACGCAAAATCATTACAATTGTTCAACACTTATCTGGATTCTGGTATACAATATATAAAGACATATAATGGAGATATTGAGTCTAAAACGTCCCTTCGCCATCTTCTACAGCCGAGATCAATTGAATTATTAATGAGCTTGTAAACACAAGCAAAACCCACATCTTTGCGCACATTTTGCCCTTCCTAAATCGCCATAAATAAACACGAATTTGCTATCAAAATGCGCCAAATTTCACGAAGACTTCAAATCTGGAGGTAACTGGAGTCAAAGACCTGCGCATAAGGTCCTAGTGCCAGTTTTCTTCAACAGACACTGCGCGTGAGGCGAATTTCCTATATAAATCATAACAAATAGCGCATAAACAAACGAAAAGTGCCCTTCGAATTAAGTATTATTTCCCCATAAAAGTACATTCAAAAGACGTCTAAAGGCTTATTCTTTCCTATAGCCTACCGTAGGTAACTGAGCACAGATATAATCGTAGAGCAAACGTAAGCGAAAAAACATCAAATTTTGGGGTGATTTGTAAGGCAAAAGTTGGAAATATGATACGCGCAATGCGATACGACTTTTTGTTAACGCAAAGTTTGATAAGTTTAGTTTTAAAAGTTCTAATTAGACGTAAACAATGAAGCGTGAATGGCAAAAGCGTTTTATGTATATGATAACTTCGGTTTTAGTCCATTTATTAGCGCAAACGGTAAGCTTGGCAAATCATGATTTTCGATAAAACAAATGCATGTGCTATTACACACTCAGATGATCAGTTTCAGCCCAATTTAATTTCCATTGCAATTTAATGGCCTAATACGGTGTTTATTATTGTCGCGCAAGTCACATATTAGCGTCATACAATACAAACTGAAAAAATCAACTTGATGGTCGTGGTTGTGGTTGTAGTTATTGATTGTATTTATATGAAACAATTTATAACTTGATCAAGTAGAGCATAAATTAAGAAATCAATTCAAATTTTCATTTTTTCCCTCAGACACTGCTTTTGCTAAAATCATTTCTGTTTTAGGGAAAACGCGTGTAAGCGATCAAATGTCCAACTGCATGAATATTTAACCGATATTTTTCATATTATGCGTTCGAACTTCGAAGTAAAGTCATGAACTCATCGATCATGATGTGGGGATTGCATGTGGCCAGGTGGCAAGTAACTATGAAGGAATATGTTTGCGATGTTACACTGAGTGCATATCCACACCGGGCGAGCTTGAAAAATATGCCCGGCCACGGTGGGATTCGAACCTACTACCTTTGGAATGCTAGCCCAATGCTCTTCCAACTGAGCTACGCGGTCAGGATGGTTCGAGTCATATAAGCGCCCTGGTTCGAGTAAGTGATATTTCGGAACAGTATCTAGTTCCTTCAATACCAATGTGTTCTAGTAATATGAATTTTTTTCTGTGTTGGTGTTGTGTACTCAGGTGAATAATATGTTTGCGATGTTACTCTGAGTGCATGTCCACACCGGGCGAGCTTGAAAAATATGCCCGGCCACGGTGGGATTCGAACCTACTACCTTTGGAATGCTAGCCCAATGCTAGCATTCCAAAGGTAGTAGGTTCGAATCCCACCGTGGCCGGGCATATTTTTCAAGCTCGCCCGGTGTGGATATGCACTCAGAGTAACATCGCAAACATATTATTCACCTGAGTACACAACACCAACACAGAAAAAAATTCATA